ACACAGATTGAAAGAAGACGTACTGTAGGAGGAACAAAGCGGGAGGTGTGGACAGAGTTATGTCCGGATTGTGATTTAGCTAAATTGCTTTGGCAGCGAGTCCCTTTTCTGGAGGATGGAGGCGAAGAGGGGAGAAAAGGTGTAAATAAGTCAAGGTGCAAATGAAGAGGAGACGAAAAGGTGAAAATATACAAAGAAAGAATACAGAGCGGAGTCGAGGTTTTCTAGTGGCCGAAACAGAGAGAGGAAAGGGTGGATGGAGACAAACGAGTGCAGCAGATTAAAGCAGGTTCACAGGAAAAAGGAATTAATGGAGGAAGAGACAGAGGGAGTGATAGATGAGAGCAAAAGGGGGGATAAATAAATAGTGAGAAGCAGCTCATGGGATACAGATAATGAGGGAGACTCTAAGCTACCTTAAACCCAAAGTCAAGGACTGATTGGAAACAGCAGTGGATGGATGGACTGACTGAAAGAGCACACACAGTATCTGGGTAATGAAGTATAAAAGCAAATACGACACTGAGAAAAGAAAAACGTGGTACAAGCACAGAGAAAGAAAGAGAAAACAAGAGCTTAAGGAATAAAAGCAGAGGTGAAGAAGAGAAGAGGCGAGAGGAGGGACGAATCGATGAGCCGCCGGGGTTTCCTCCGAGGCGGATCCGTCACCACACACTCCCTGTACATGGGAACATCGGATTATCGATCCGTTGCTCTGCTGTCACTCCGCTCATCCAGCTTTTCCAAAGAAGCAGCTTCAAAGCCTTCCAGCTCCTTTGCCTCGCCGTTTGATCGAGATCATCCACTTCCACCAGTCCTCCTGGATCTGGGGTTTTGCGAAAGGCCGGGACGACACAAGCGAAAAAGGCAGACGTAAGTGGAATTTGAGCTTGAGATCAAGATCGAGTCAGCTCACCCGGTGGCTGATGGTTTAAAGGAAAGATCAGAAGCTTTTAGACGCTGTGCAATGTATTTAGGATGCAGGTATCCCCACTTGTTAACATGACAGCATGGTGTCTTTGACATGCTAGCAGACATATCCTGTGCTAAATAAGCAGTCAACAATGTGGCGAAGTGTTTCCACCTTGAAACTGCAGGTTTAGATTTCCAGGGTGTCATATCAAACTTAAGAATCGGTTTCCCCTCTACACACCACCTCATTGTTCAAAAAAAAATTCATCCACACCTAACCACACAAGTGTGTTATTAAGTAAGTACGTTCATAAGCATGCCAAACCTTTAGGTGGCAGTGGTTCCCCAAATCCTATCCAATCAGGGTAAGCTTCTGTCTCTCAACGTTGTAAAATAGCCGTCTTTAACGTCATCCTTCGCCTGTGTTCATGGACATGGATCAGTATCTGGGTTTGTATAAACAAGCAAGCAAAAAGCATCTGGACAAGAGACAATGCCAACACAGCTTTGAGGGCGTCTACGCTGTTTCCAAATGTAAACACAAGTCGCGTATGTGATGTAAGAACATGTTTTGTCGCAGGCAGTGATGTTTCAAAACCTAAAACCCTGGTTATTGACGTCCACATACAGACGCTTAAACGGGGGTATTCACAAATCTTCACTTTGGTCGGAGGTTTTTGAAAGAATCGGTTTTAATGGTGTAAATCTGCGGCCAAATTGTAGAAAACTATCTTCGTTTTGTGAGATACCCTGCTACGTGTGGACAAGGCATGACTCTAATATTACAACTTTCCATTGTGTAGCATTGAGAAGTTTGACTATGTTTGAGCGAAGATGAGGTGAGCTGGTGTGCTCGAGCTGCAGTGATGGAACTAAAAGTGCAGTAGGTTGCTGCACGTAGTTTGCTGCAGCAACGGAGACGGCAACACGCTAATAGCTGAAGGGACAGAGAACGTCCAATGTCCAACTTATCGACTATACCCGCCATCTTTGTTTATATTGTTAGCATGTTGTATTAGCACCACGTTTACAGTCCAGCTGAGTTTGATGGGAGCGCTTCTAGTGTTGCAAGTAGTTCGCTATAAATCAAAGACAAATGACCATTTCTGCTGCCGGTTTTTTCTATTGTGTTCCACTGATACTGGATCCAGTATTTTTAGGCTATTGTTATTATTACTGTTTAAAGCTTATTCTGAAAGTATAAAAGTATTTAAATAAATAAATAAAGTACTTTAACAAAGATTTGTGTTGGATTCTTGTAAATTCAGTCACCGAGATTTTTATTTTTGCAACAAATGTACATTGATTCCAAATATAAATTGCTAATAACTGGTTTATGCACTGAAACCACACAGACCTCAATGGTTTTGAAACCTGAATAAGTAGCAGAAGTCCTGTCGATGTTATTTCACAGCATAAGTCTCTCTGAGCACCATAAATGTGCTTTTGAGATATTTTTATTCACATATACGTCTTCAAAAGCCACTGAGCAGCAGTTTGTGTGCAGGTTATTGTTAATGTTTTGGCAGAATGTGTTTTTTAATCTCTACTAAACAAACCTGTCAAACATCTCCTCAACGTTCCCTCCACGAGTCTTTTAAATATTGTCAAATCTATTGTGTAACTCCTGGAAAAAAACTTCTCTCGGTATTTTTAGCTCTGCGTACATGAGCGCTGCCTGTTCAAAGTGGATGCATGTGTCTTAATCAAAAGATAAGGCTTAAAGCTGTTTAAACTTGGAGTGTGATCCCCTGAGTGTGTTCTGCGATGCTTCATGAAGATATCTGCTAATCCACATCCAGCGCAGGAAGACGCTTACTGCCGCGTATTGTTTACGCTTGACCCACAAAGTTACAATCTCTTAGGGGTGAAGCATACTGTACCTAGTGATCTTTTTAATCCTCTTGTAGCAAACAATAGCTTCGGTTTCAGCTAATCTGATCTGCTGCAATCTCGGCTCCGCTGGCATCGGCTTTCTGTTTGCTTCCCTGCACTGATACAGCAGCAGCAGCAGCAGGCGACTGAGCCCTGATTCCACTTCTGCACTTAGTTACACTTATCTCTCTCCTCTTTCTCTGCAGCTCCCCCCTCACCTCACTTTATCCTTCGCTGACCTCGGTCTTCACCAGCAGCAGTGGCGACGTCAGTGACAGTACAGAAGTGCACACACTCTGCTCCATGTGTGCAGCGACACGCCTACCGAGCTCCTGTTCATTTGCACTCTGGCTCACATCCTCTCTTGTGAGCATGGTGATGAAGACACGCATTCTCCGAGCTGGTAAACACATCTTAGTCGGTACTTTCTGCCAGATTTGGTTCACAA